GAGTGATGAAGCTATGGGTCACTTTTAGCCTCTCTTTTATTTTTTGTGTTTCCAAAGTATTTTTCAATTAAAAGTAAAACAAAACATTATTTTGAAACCTTCCACAGCCATTGTCAGAAATCTGTACTCCCATGGCCGACGACAAAGCACTCCTCTATCTGACTCTGCAGAGGGTGGTTCTCCTCGCTTAGGAAAGCCCATGGCCGTGGGCGGAATGCAACCTGTCCCCTGCCCTGCCTTCGTCCCACTCTGCTCCAGCAGGATCCACGGCCTGCACACTCTGTAGCCACCTGCCAGGGCAGCGTGGTCCTCTGGAAGCCACCCACATCCACCATGCCTCTCCCACACCTAAGGCGAGTGTGCCAAAAACACCTCTGACTCATCAGGAACCTGAACAACAAACACACTCCCTGGAATGTCCAGGCAATTAAGCACAAATGTCATTAAAGAGAATCACTATTAAATAAACGCAGTGAGTGACACACAGCAGCCACATGGCAGAACAAGGCCTTCCTCAAGCAACTTCCTGATTTGACAGCAGCATGTGTCACGAGGTCTATGATATCTAAAAATTTATGATGGTTTTAACACAGGCGGAAAACAGCTAGGAAAATGCACCATCCCATGCATCATCCCCCCAAATGGGAATGAGGAGTGAGTGCTTTTCTCTCAGCCACCAGGAGAGCCCTTTTCCACACAGCTACCTGTAGTCCTAACACAGCTCCGCTGTCACAACAAACTTGTTGTTGCCCCTTCAGAAGCCCCTACAACCTAAGTGTCCCCTCAAACTTACTTTTGAGGTTGAACTGTCTAAGGTTTCGTGACTCGAAATGAAGAGAACACTATCCTCCCAGGGAAGCCTGTTGCCAGCTCCTGCCACCTGTGTCTACCTGCCTCTTTCACATGCTAAGCCACAGCAGAAGGTCCATCAGTTCCCAGAGCTGAGAAAGCACTAGACAATACCTGGGATACTAGACAAGTATATTAAAGCCACTTCCCTAAGGGCAGTTTCCGTGGACAACCTTCCATATGTGTTGGAATCCTCCCCTTTCTGCACAGTCCCCTGAAAAAGAAAGGAACCCAGGCCCCAGAAGCTGCAAAACAGCAAGTAAAGACAAGTCGGAGAAGGGAGGAAGGAATGCCTACGTAGGTGGGGGAGCAGTGCCACCTCCAACCCCTTGGCAAAGTGGGCAGTGGTGTCGTAGAACTCCAGCAGTTTGGTGAGCTCCAGCTCGGGTCCCGCCCTCTCCACGCCAGCGCTGAGGCAGATAGGCAGGGAGGGCACCAAGGCCCCCAGGGTCTGGATCAGCAGCACTGTCACAACCTCGTGAGGGTTCTTGAAAACCTGCAGTGGGAAACAGGCAGCTGTGTCAGCTCACGCCACCAACAGGACAGAGTTCTTAAAGAAGCTGTTTTCTGGATCACTCGAAGAAATCCCCTTAATAGGTAAAAAGTGACTAGTCAAGAGCTACAAGCCCAAAGGTCCCCCCACTGCAGAGTGAACGTGCTCAGAAAGCACAGCAAATCTGCAGGACCTGGAAGGCGTCCAGAATGATGGGACAATGTCCTGTCCTGTCTACTGCTGCCCACCCCCCCAGGGCCTTCCTATTTACAAATTTACTAAATGCTTTCCTGCGGTGTTTAGATGGTACCAGAAACTGACTGGAGGGAGGGCTATGAAGGTGCCAAAGGAGAAATGGCTTTGGGGCAGGGGTGGGGGCACCAGTGAAAGAAAAGCAATCCACTGAATCACAACTGGAAGGATCTTTATGCAGATTCAGTCTGGCTGCAGCCTCTCCTTGACACTGATCTTGATGGATTCTCTTAAGGACCACAAGGAAGAGTGTACCTAGACCCATTAAAATTATTCATTGATAGTCTTTTCTCTCTCATTATATGTACTTTAGATTTCTTGGGAAATTTTTGAATAATGTACATAGTTCACTTAGAAGGGGGTTCTCTCTATACCACAGGGCTGGTTAAGTACTTTTTTGTTAAAACATAACCTAGATATATACAAACATGAGATGATACAAGAACTTTTTTTTAGGAAAATCCAAGGCCAAAAAAAGTACAAATTTAAAACTATAAACCCAAAAGAATTCAAAATTTCACTACAAAATACTCTGAGATAAATGAAAATGAAAAGAACAAAACAAAACTTACAGGATGCAGCAAAAGCAATACTAAGAGGCCTGCAGAGCTGCAGGTGTGTATGATTAGAAAAAGAAAAATCTCACATGCACGACCTAAGCGCTCACATTAAAGAACTAGGGGGAAAAAGATCAAATTAAACCCAAGGTTAGCAGAAGAAAATAATATGGATTAAAGTAGAGATAAATAAGAGGATAGAAAATCAACAAAAGTAAAGTCTATTACACCAGAAATTGCAAGGTGTTTTTGCAAAGATTAATTTAAAAAAAAAACTGCTTTTACCTGGACTGATTAAGAAAAAAAGAGAAAGAACTTAAATTACTAAAATCAGATATAAAATTAAGGCATTGTACCAATTTTACAGAAATAAAAAAGATTATAAGGGAATTCTGTGAACAACTGTATGCCAACAAACTGAATGAAATGGACATATTCCTAGAACACAACCCACCAAAACTGGCTCAGGAAGAGAGAACTGGAATCCTCCTCTACCTATAGTAAGGACATTGAATCAATAATCAAAACCTCCCCTCAAAAAAAGATCAGAATCAGGAGCTGGGGATGTGGCTCAAGCGGTAGTGCGCTCGCCTGGCATGCGTGCGGCTCGGGTTCAATCCTCAGCACCACGTACAAACAGAGATGTTGTGTCCGCCCAAACTTAAAAAATAAATAAATAAATATTAAAAATTCTCTCTCTCTCTCTTTAAAAAAAAAAAAAAAGATCAGAATCAGATGACTTCACTGGTGACTTCTACAAAATATACAAGAAGAATTAAGGCCAACCCTTCTAAAACACTTGGAATAAAACTGAAGAAGAGAGAATATGCTATGGTCTGAACTGTGTTCCCCTGAAATTTGTACGTGAAGTCCCAATCCCAATACCTTGAATGTGACTATATTTGCAGCATGACCTTTAAAAAGGTAGCAAAGGGGAGCTGGGGTTGTGGCTCAGTGGTACAGTGCTCACCTAGCACATGTGAGGCACTGAGTTCAAACCTCAGCACCACATAAAAATGAAATCAAGATATTATGTTCACCCACAACTAAAAAAAAAACATTAAAAAACAAAGGTAGGGCTGGGGATGTGGCTCAAGCAGTAGCACGCTCGCCTGGCATGCGTGCGGCCCGGGTTCGATCCTCAGCACCACGTGCAAAGAAAGATGTTGTGTCCGCCCAAAACTGAAAAATAAATAAATAAATATTTATCTCTCTCTCTTTAAAAAACAAAAAAGGTAGCAAAGGTACTATGATGTAATCTGGGTGAGCTCTAATCCCCTATGACTGGTGTTCTGATTCAAAGAAAAGATCAGGACAACAAACACATATGGAGTAAGGACACAGGGAGAAAATGGCCTTCTGCAAGTCTGCAAGGAGACTTCTGAAGAAGCAATCCTTATCTTGGACTCCAAGACTTTAAGAATTTTGAGGAGATTAATTTCTGTTGCTTAAACTTGCCAGTCCAAGATTCTCCCTTACAACTAACACAGAACACTTCCTAACTCATTCTGTGTGGTCAGCATCACCCCAATATGAAAAGCAGATAGAAACTGTTGGGAAAACATATAACGGCAGCAGCACTCCAGAGAAAAACCCCAACATGGTGCCTAACAACCCTCTTTCTCCTCTTTTTTCTTTCACTGGCGCGAAACGTTCCGCCGGCGCCAATGTTCAAATCCTGCGGGTGGGAAACCTTAGCCCCAATAAGAATCAACTTCTTGGGCTCCGGAACTGACATATGGAAGAGCTTGCCAATAAACGGGTGACCTCAGCCCTGCTACCTCTCCTTAGACCTATATAAACCCACAGCCTTTTGTAATAAAGCGGAACCTCTCCGGTGATCTGTGTCGTGTGGTGTCTCCCATTCGTAGTGTGGTGCGGCGTCTTACAGAAACACTGCAAGAAAACCACAGACCAATATCCCTTGTAAATGTATAAGCAAAAATCCTCAACAAAGTACTAGAAACTGAATTCAGCAGCACACTAAAAGGAGTAAGCACCGTCGTGAAGTGAGATTTACTCCTGGAATGCAAGAACAGTTCAATGTAAAAAATTAATCAATTTAATATATCATGCCAACAGAATGAGGGGAAAATACATATGACCACCTCAATTAATGCAGAAAATCCATTTAACAAAATACCCTTTCATGACAAAACATACAACAAACTAGGGATAGAAGGAAACTTCTTCCAGATGCTAGGGCCATAGGTGAAAACCCAGCTCACATCAGACTCAATGGTGAAAGACTGAACACTTTTCCTTCTAAGTTCAGGAACAAGTCAAAGAAGCCTACTTTTGCCACTCTATCCAACATAGTACTGGAAATTCTCGCCAGAGCAACTGGAAAAGAACAAGAACAAGAAATAAAAGGTGTCCAGATTGAAAACAGAGTGATCTCTGTTTACAGATGACATGGTTTTATGTGTAGAAAATCCAAAATAATCCACAAAATACTGTTAAGAGTTAAAATTCAGCTATGTTGCAGGTAATAATATCAACACACAAAATCAGTTGTCTGTCAACACACTAACAATGAACAATCTGAAAAGGAAATTAATAAAACAAGTCCATCTGCAATAGCATCAAAAAGAACCAAGTATTTAGGAATAAACTTAACCAAAAAGCTGAACAACTATACAGTGAAAACTACAAAACAGCAAGAAATGAAAGAAGACAAATATGTGAAGACATCCCATGTTCATGAATCTGAAGACCTAGTGTTCTTAAGATGTCAACACAACCAAAGTCACCTTCAGATGGAATGCAAGCACTGATCAAAACACCAATAGTATTTTTTTTTTTTTTTTTTGAGGAATAGAAAAATCCATTCAAAAATTCATTTGAATGCATGGGTTTGGATTTATGTAGGCTTGTCCCTGGGCCTCTCATAGTGTCCCATGCCAGGGCAAACTATGCCCCCAAACCGTTGCCTGGCCTCTGTGTCCACAGGCTGCTGGCACTGAAGTGGGTCGCACAGTGCATAAAGGAACAGCCACAAAGACAACTCATCTGGAAGCTCAAGGTACCCCAAGTAATCAAAATCGTCTTGAAAAAGGAGAGCAAAGCTGAAAGACTCGCCCTGTTTAGTTTCATGAAGAAAGGGGAATATTATGGTCTGAACTGTGTCCCCCTAAAATTTATAAGTAAAGTCCTAATCCCAATACCTCAGCTGTGGCTGAAAACTTTTTCAAAAGTATAATGATAGCATAAGGACAGACACAGACCAGTGGACTAGAACAGAAAGCCCAGAAGCAGACCCAGACATCTAAGGCCAATTGATTTAAACCTGGGTGCCAAGGCCATTTCATAGGAAAAGCACAATCATGGCAACAAATGGTTCTCAGAAAACTGGATGTCCGCATGCAAAAGAACAAGGCAGGCCCCGGATCTTACACTGTGTAAAAAGTTAACCTGAGAAGGATTAAAGATCCTTAGCAACTGGTTATAGGATGGCCATGCACATGGTCCAAAATATGTATATATTTTTTTAATTCTCAGAGAATTTACAAAACTGCAAAGAACATTTGTTTCCCTTGATACATCCTACATTAGACTCCACATAGTGCCACCCTGCCAGAGTCTGGGACAAAGAAATAGGGGGGAAGAAACAATCAAATCCAATAAATTATAAAATGACCAACTTGTGGCAGATGCTCCAATCTATATTTCCTGAGCCAGTCATCCAGCCATCTACTGGAAGTCACGGTTAGACTGACACTTGGGAACTTAAAAGCACCCATAATTAGAATCCATCATGTCCCCACTGAACTCCACAGGTGTTCCCTTCAACTTCCTACTTCTGTCAATAATGTCTCCACTCACCAGGATGAAAATCTCCCTTCTGACTTTCCTTTCTTTGAATCCCTTTATTGGTTACTAACAATTGTTTCAACGATTGTTCCTTCATCAACTTGAACAGCACCACATCATCCCTACCAGGCAAAGGCTGTCTGTCTGTCTCCCAACTCTCCTTAGCAATTCACCCTATGTATCACCACCAAATTCTTTTTTTGTGGAGTGGGGGTAGGGGTGGGGGGCAGTACCAGGGATTAAACTCAGGGGCACTGAGCCCCACCCCCAGCCCTATCTGGTATTTTATTTAGAGACAGGGTCTCACTGAGCTGCTTAGTGCCTCACTTTTGCTGAGGCTGACTTTGAACTCACGATCCTCCTGACTCAGGCTCCTGAGCCACTGGGATTATAGGCGTGCTCCACCACGCCCAGGTCCACCAAATTCTTTATTTTAAATTTACTTCAAAAGTTCTCTTATATTTCGTATTTTTAAATATTGCGAGACTTGCCCATTATTCATAGTTTGGTATTGTTACTCTTTTTATTGTAGCCGTCTGGTGGGTGTGTGCAGCAGTATCCCACTGTCGTTTTAATTTGCATTTCCCTGATGACTAAGGGCACTGAGCACCTACTTGTGGGCTTACTGACCATTCATATCTCTTCCTTTGTGAAGTGTCTATTCAAGTTTTTTGCCCATTTAAAAAACTGGGTTGTTTGCCTTTTTGTTTTTTAATTGTAGGAGTACTTTATATATTCTGGATATAAGTCTTTGTCAGATATGTTTGTAGATGTTTTCTTCCAGTCTATGACTTAAGCAGAGGTTCTAATTTTGATGAAACTTAATTCATCAGGTTTGGTTTGTTCTGGTCGGTTTTTGCAGTGCTGGGGATCCAACCCAGGGCCTCACACATGCTACGCAAATGCCCTACCACTTAGCTACACCTCCAGCCCAGTTTTTCCATGTCTAGTTACTATTTTCTACAACTAAGGGTCATCACTGAGCCCCCAAGTTCTAAGTCTGTAAATTTCTGTTGTTCTTTCGAAATGGCCACAGAATCTTTTTTGTCCAGTTACTTTAAAAAAGGGGAAACCTCTAAACATAAGGGGTTTAGGGGTCTTAATTGAAACATGCATTTTAAAAAAATGCCACTAGAGGTCTAGAACATGACTTCACATATCGACCAACCAATGAGAACTCTCTGGAATACAACCATAGTCTAACTTCACCCCCACCCCCAAGTCATTTAAGTAAGACCAGACTTATCAACTTGGGTCACAGAAAGATAGTCCAGCCCTGCCTTCACTACACACAAAAGCTAATTCATGATGGACCACAGATCTAAATGTTAAAAGCTAAACAAACTCGTAGAAGAAAACATGGAAGAATATCCTTGAAACTTGAGGACTAGCAATGACTTCTTAGGATACAGAAAGCAACAACCATAAAAGAAAAAACAAAATGATAGGCTTCATCAAAATCGAAACTCCTACTCAGGGCTAGGATGTAGTTCGGTGATGGAGTGCTTGCTCAGTGCCTGCCCAGCACCTGCAGGGGCCTGAGTTTGATCCCCAGCATTGCAAAAAAAGTTTAAAAATTAAAAATAAAACCTCTGTTCGAGCCACAGACTGGAAGAAAATGTGCAAATGTCTACAAACATATCTGACAAAGGACTTGTGCCCAAAATATATAAAGAACTCCTACAACTAAATAATAAAAAGGCAAACAACCCAATGTTTCACATGGGCAAAGGACCTGAATAGACACTTCACAAAGGAAGACATCCAAATGGCCATGAAGCACATGAATAGGTGCTTAGTGCCCTTAGTCATCAGGGAAATGCAAATTAAAACCACAATGGGACACTACTGCACACCCATCAGAATGGCTAAAATTAAGAAGACAGACAACACCCCATGTTAGCAAGCACAGGAAGCAATCAGAACTCTCACACTGTGTGGGAGTGCAATAAGGACAAGTACTTTAGAAAAAGGCCTGGCAGTTTCCTATAAATCCAAATATACACCTGCCCTATGATCTCAGAATTCCACTCCTAGGTGTTTACTCAGGAGATATGAAGACATGTGTCTTAAAAAAAAAAAAACACTTATAGAACAATGTTCATAGCAGCTTTATTCATAGTAGTCCCAAACTAGAATGAGATCAAGTAGATCAAGTGTCCATCAATAAGAAAATATGCAAACAAAACGATGTCTCAGTGGTAGAGCTCTTGCCTAGCATGTGTGAGGCACTGGGTTCAATTCTCAGCACTGCATATAAATAAATGAATAAAATAAAGGTTCATCAACATCTAAAAAAATTTTTTTTAAATGATGTCTATTCACATCATGTAACAGAATGTAACAGAATTCAGCAATAAAAGGGAACAAACTAGCAATGCATACAAATGAGTAAGTCTCAAAAACCCACCAGATGAAAGAAACCTTGCCACAACAACAAAGATGCTTTGCCACAGGGTGTTTTCCATCTGCGGGAAATCCCACAGCAGGCTAAATTAATTTATATGGGGGGAGCATGAGAGCAATAGCTGCCCGGGAAGAAGTATGAGAGAATTTTCTAGGTGGGTGGTAATGATTCGTGTCTAGAAAGAGGATAAGGTCTCATCTATTTGCATTTGTTTGAACTAATCAAATGATATATTTAAGATCACAGCATTTCATAATTTTACTTCGAAAAAACAAATACTTGAACTCTAGTTAATAATACACATGTGTACATATACATATACGTGTTCTTAAATGAATGTTATATCCCAACTTATTTTGAAATGAATCAAAAAATATTTGATGAGTAGACAGACGACGGATAGAAGGATAAATCTGTGACAAAGCAAACAGCAAAATGTTCACTGTCCAGCTGTGAGGTAGGTACACAGGTATTCACTGTAGAATTATTTCAGCCTTTTTATGTGTTGGGTATTTTTCATACTAAAATACTGGGGGAGGGCCAGGGGTGCAGTTCAGTTAGAGCACCTGCTTAGTATGTGCAAGGCCCTCAGTTTGATCCCCAGCAACAGGCGGGAAAAGGTTCATTTAAAACCTAGGGAAACAGAAATGTGGAGGAGACACACCTACAGACCCTGCGGCCTTGGCCTCACCTGCACTCTCCTGACCTTCTGGAGATGAAAGCCCACCTCACATCCCGTAAAGAAAACGGGCCACAGGCCAAAGGTATAAATAAGCATAAACTTATGCCTTCAAAACCAACAGTGAGGACGAAGCAGAAGTCTGAGAAGCCCCAGTTCTTTCTCCTAGATGATTCACAGACGAGGAAGGGCATTTGTATGTACAGGCACGAGCCGTTTTTCTCCTGTGGTTTGAGAAGTGGTAGAAGAGGCCCGGACGGTAAACGGGTGTGAGCAGACAGACCTGCTGAAAACTCGTGATCACACAAAAACCACTGAGGTTCTTTTTCTCCTCAAAAACACAAGCAAACAAAACCTGCCTAAGTTTGAATTAGGTTAGTTCAAGGAAGAAGAAGCCAGGATGGAGAAAAGGGCTTTAGCCATCCTCAACACCATGACCCTGTGCAGGGAATCTCTCCAGTACATTTGAGTTTATTCCACCAAATGACTGATGAACATCTAAAGAGCAATCCACAACTAATGACGAGAAAAATAATAAGCCACACCACCAATAAGCCCAGTCTGTCATCACCCCAAGTACTCAGGCTGCTCCCCTTCTAGAAGAGGGTCTGCTGCCCTCCTGGCCTGCGGACGAAGCAGTGACGCTCCATTCCCCTCCGTCTGGAAACGCCTAGAGACCTGGCGAGGGTAAGTGATGGGAAGCTTCCTCCTGAACCCTCTGTTTCATTGCCCCTGCTCAGAGGGTGCCTTCAACACTATACTCTTCCTCTAACTCTTGATGTCTTGTGAGAGAAGGGAAAGTAACTGCAGGCCAGGTAAGCTTTACCTGAGGTTAAGATATAAACAGCCTGTTCACTCCACCACCGCCTGACTAGGGGCCTCCTGCTTTCAGATGTGAAGATAACGGCTTCCAGGAATTCCAAAGGCTCCCTAGCTGAACCACAGGCAACACTGTCACATTAGATTCCACTTAAGATACAGATAAGAGTGATAAGAAGAGCTTTAATGGAAACCTAAGGACTTCACTGCCCTGGGTTTCCAAGCCTATCTTTTTAACCCCTTGGGTGATGGTGACAGATGGGG